CATTCTCTTCTAAATAGACAAAGGTGAGCAAAGAATTTGTGTGCCCCACGATGAAGCTGTGAAAAGCTTAATTCTAAGTGAGCGTCGTAACACAGAAGGTCACTTTGGCTTTAACAAGACTTCTGCTAATGTGCGTGAGCCGTTCGAATAGCATGGAATGAAGGAAGATGTGCTAACCTATGTCAGGACCGATAGGTTTTCCAAATATGCAATTTTCATTCCTCTACCCGCTGAAGCAAGAACCAAACTGGTCATACAGAAATTTCAGATGCGATGGGTCTCTGAATATGGATTTCCTAAAATCGTTGTATATGACAAAGATGTCAGATTCACAAGGCAATAGTGGCAGAAGTTGAGTTCATGACACAAGGCTGATAATATCTTCATGTACGCACCCTGAGAGAAATGGACAGACTAAACAAATGAACCGATTGTGAAAACAGCTTCTGCAAATGTATGTGAGACCTGAGCAAGTGGATTGGGACAATAACTTACCCAAAATAGCTAGTGCATATAACAACAGTGCCATACGGTAACTGAAAGGACACCTGATGCATTGCGGAAAGGATGGCAATGCATGAGACCTATAGACTCTCTGACATTGCGGAAAGGATGGCATTGCGGAAAGGATGGCAATGCATGAGACCAGATTCAAAGGTTGCCGACAGGAACCCACGAATTCGCAGTTTCGCATAAACAAGACATCACAAAGGTTAAAGAGAACATTAAGAAAGCCCACAACCAGATCATTAAGCAAGCCAAGAAGCATACAAGACCAGCTCAATTCAAGGAGGGAGCTTGGGTATGTGCAAGGAATATGAGTGTGAACAATATACAGAAAACCAAGTTGCGAAATCACACAGATGTCCAGGTAGTCGTGTCAAAGCAGAGAGTACAAAATGCGGCGAGATACCATCCATATAGAGCAATACAATGAAGTAACGAGCCAATGTTCCAGCCCGTAGGCCACACCAACACAGTATCCAAAGTCGCCCCTCTCTGTCTGGTGCCCATCACCCAGCCTACTCTACCCGGCTATCCTACCTACAGCTGGTTCACGCAACAGGCGCACTTCGACTCTCGAAGACCAATGCACATGACTGTCAACACCATAGCCGACATCTCTTCATGTACCAGGTACGTATCTCGCCACCCTCAGTCAGACCTTGATTACCCCACACTCACCTCCTTCCCTGAAGACCACCCGATCGCCCTCCTTACCCCCTGGCGCCTAGCAGCTTGGCTATGGCTGCCTGCGCCCCACGTCACCACTATGCGCCCCGTCAGCGCCTTTGGCAGCAGCGCAGCATCAAGCGAGAGCGCAGCAGCACTTTCGCATTGCCTGCACTGGCCAGAATGCCTGGCCTGGGCTGCCTCACTTCCTTTATGGAAGTGGCAGCCTCCTGGATGCTGCGTGTGGCCTGGCTGGAAGCTTCCGGTAGCTTCCGGTTGGGCCTCAGACCCTGTGACCAGGCCCGAGACTCAATTGAGGGCCTGGGCCCCATTTACAGTTGGGCACGGCCTGAGTCTCCGAACTTGGGCTGTTTGCTGCATCTGTGCAGGGCTCCCAGTTAGGTGCATCAACAGTACTGCTTTTGCGTAGGCCGATGGCCTGCTTCCCAATGTATCGGCCCTGCTTTGTGCGTATGTGCCCAGGCGCAACTGTCCAGGCCTGGGCCAACTGTACGACGCAGCTTAGTGAGGCTCGCGCGTCCATTCAACCAACTGGCGTGCTGCAAGAGCCTGAATACCCACATATGAAAGTGTCAAATTTTGGCCTTTGACGAATATTCAGGCCCACCTTCACTTAGGGCGGGCACTCGGCTTGCTGGGGGCCTTAGCCCAGAACATGTGATGTCTGATAGGGCCCCTTGAGGGCTCGTTCCTCACATATGGGTAAAGTCAAATGAATTCTCCTTGGAAGAAGGGGTTTCACCGGAACTGCTACCTGTCTACTACGGGCCGTGGGAAGTTTTGAAAGTAACTGGGAACGCAAATGGACCATCCTATCGGATAGGCGTGCCCCACATCTCAAAACATATCCTGTTTTCCACACATCGAAATTGCCACCCTACTTTGAAGGTCAAGACTTCCCTAATAGGCCATCGATGTTTCCACCTTCTGTGGACGGAGAGCATCACGTCAAAAAGATTCCTGAACATGGGTTCTTCACTACCGATGGAAGGGGAAGGCCACAGAAGCAGTACAAGGTGAAGTTCAGTGGTCAACCAGAATCTGAAGCAAGATGATTCCGTAAGAAAGAACTATTACTACACCTGATATCATTGCTGGATATGAACATGTATTAAAGGGAAACCGTGCCTGAAAGAAAAATTTATGTGGTGAAATTTGAGGTCGAGACGGACGGAATGCAATAAACTCAACTCACATCCACATAGACACAGGCAAGGAGGGTTCTAGCTTCTGGCCAATGTCAAGATTCAGGGGTCAAATTCTCTTCCCAAGCCTGGAAAATGTCTGTCACGGGGTATCAGGTCCTTTGTCTGGAACCCCCGCCTGAGTTACCCGACCCTCGGAAATCCAAGACTCAAACTCAGTAAGGGAGAAACAGGCCCAAAGTCAGTCAACCCCGTAGTCCACCACAGCCATAGATTAAATGTGCACCAATGCTTGTCTATCTCCAGAAGATTCCAGTACCTGTTGGGAAACAGCACCACTGCTACAAGGATGCATTCAGGCCGTAGAGATTGGAGTAATCTGGATCGTCAATGCAGTCAAAGCAGGGACTGGTCAACGTGAGTCAGCATGACTCAACGCTATATATGGATGGTCAGACACTGGGGAGGACATTCTGCCTTGCGCTGGCTAGAGGCCAAGTGCTGCTATGCAAGATTGCTGGTGTGAGATGCTGGAGCCAGATGCTGCTGGAGGACACCAGCCTAGAGGGCGGACATGTTGGCGTGGCCATGGCCGCCATAGCCGTAGTAGTAGGTGATGAGGGTGGGTGAGGAGGAGGAGGGTCAGAGCTGTGAGACCGATGAGAGTCGAGGAGAAGCGTACCTGGACTTACCAGGCATCCATGTATGTGATCTGTTGCTGGTCTCCACGAAGGTGAGGAAGAGCTGTGCCATCCTCCATAGCTTATTGTTTACTACGAGGAGGATGGGCGCCATGCTATGATCTGCGCAGTGATTATCTCAGGGGACATCAGAGGGGAGCATATTGCTGAGGTGGCGATAGGGGAGAAGCTTGAAATAGAAGTGGGAAGGGGAGAGCGACATACATGTCTCATCGATTATTATTGGAAATCTCCTCCTCTTCTTTGTCTAACCTCTCCTCTGTCTCTTCTCTCATGCACCTCTTTGATGAGACGGGCTTCTGGCACGTGTGTGATGACCCGTCCATACATGGACTGAAACACACAACTGATTTCTGAGTTTTGCCCATAGACTGAATGCCCTGCTGAGTTTCCCGCTTGCTACTAAGTTTGTGTGTGCACGCTTGCTGGACTGCATGTCTGCCTGAGTGCTGGATGGCTTGAGTGTGTGTGTGGCCATGCCTGTCTGAGTGTTGGTTGGCTTGGATGTGTGTGTGACCGTGCCTGTCTGAGTGCTGGTTGGCATGAGTATGTGTGTGGCCCGTCAGGGCACTTGCTCGTTCGTTGGGCCCCCAGGGCCGGTACTTACCTGTGGCCGTGACATTGAGGGGCTGCAGCGGGGAAAAACACTCAAGTAGCGGGTAGGCCGGTACCGCACCTGGAAGGGGTAGATGTGCAGGTACCGGAGGCCGAGCAGAAGAAGACAAAGTTGGCATTTTTAGAGGCCCAGTAGTTGTAGGGTAGGTCTAGGCGGATATCAGTCCAACCAGTCTGGGTCTAGGGCCTGTACGGGCAATATCAGAGTCTGCAATATCCGAAAAGGGAGGAGGTACCGGTTGCTTGGGAGGCCGAGTGGCCTGGAAGTCACCGCCCAAGAGGCAAAACAGGCCGCTATATCTTCTGGCCGGGCGGAGAGTTCGGCCTCTTTTTCGGTGTGCAAGTTGGGCGACACACTGGTGGAGTGCTGGCTGGAGCAGCGCTAAGATGGAGCAGCGCTGCTGGGGAGGAAGGAGAAGGACATGAGGGAGGAAGGAGGAGGAAGAAGGAGGGAAGGGGGAAGAGCGCCAGGGGTACTTACCTGGCTATGGTGGCAGCCATCTTCATCACCTTGGTGGGCGCTGCAGCAGGGAGTCCCCAACTGGGGAGAGCTACACCAAGAAGCTTCAAGGCAGGGTTGGGCATGGCGGCCTGAGCTAGAGCAGCCATAGCTCCCTTGGGTTGTCCTTTGGGCATCTGGGCAAGGCCTAGTAGTCCGCCATAGCCTCGGCCTATGAGAGTGAAGAGTGGGGGAGGCGGCCATGGCTATGGTGGACCTCAAGTGATACCTGCAGTAGAAGAGGAACTCGGACATTGATTCTGGACCAGTCATTCAACATTGTATTATTATTTCTTGTACGAATAAGAGAAGGGGGAGATAAGGAGGAGGAGATTGTTGGGCGAAGAAGAAGAGCCTTGTCATTACATCTTCTTCTTCTTCTTTCTTACTTCTTCTTCTTCTTCTAATCCTCTCTTTCTCCTCTCAAGTTCATTCATTTCTTTCTGCAATTGGATGGCATTGTACTTTCCGGTGGATGTGTATCTCGAAATTGGCCAGGGTCACAACACGTGCATATACTTGTGATTGACTTTGGAGACCATGATGTGCGCTGGGATCAGACTTGTATTGCATTATTGATTGGCTTCTCATCGAGACTGGGTTCATTCATTTGACTCAAGCTGCTCTTAATCACAGGCGTGGTTGTTGGCTGCAGCAATTGCCCTCGGCACGGCTTGACTTGTAACATTAAGTGAAAAAAGACAAAGAAAAGGCTGCTCCTAGTTAGACAACACGCACGCACGCACACGCACGTACACACACACACACACACACACACACACACACACACACACACACACACACACACACACACACACACACACACATGTTTTCCAGAACTTTCACCTCCGTACGTCTTCAGCTCGTATTCTGGCACAGTAAACGCAGGGGCATCTCCGAGGACGACCTTGGATACCGCCGACGAGAGCACAGCAGCCAGCATAATCATTGCTACACTCAGTGGCGATGGGCTGGCGTACAATGGAAAGAGTACGGTTTCAATTGCAAATAGAAATCCGGATACGGCCGCATTGAAACCTGCAAAAAAACAAAACAAAAACGAGCAAGCATATGAGTCATTAATTTGGGATGAAATATTATGGAGTTACATGAATGCATCATGATGGTAGATAGGCAGCATGTTATGTAACTGACTGAAATTCCATCCAAAACGCATTCAAATTTTCCCATACACGCATGCAATGATGCAGCAGACTTCGAGGACGCAAATCCACACAAAACCGGAGGGAAGTACACAGCGGAAGCCAGTGTTGCACAGCCGATTGTCAGCACCCCCCAACTGGTCGGGGGCCGACCAGCCAACCGGTCGGCCGGTGGTCAGCACCCCGCCCCCCAACACTCCCATCCCCCTCCTACCTCCACATCCCCCCCATAACACCCCGCAAACATGCACAACCGCCCTAACACTCCCATACCCCCCCCTATACCCCCCCACAACCCCCCAACTCCCAAGAAACTTCTCAGAACATTGAGGCCTGTACTCAGCAAGCGCAGTACAGCCCCGAACTCCGACCTCAAAACAAAACAGTGGATGGCTCTTTGTTGACTGGGTCGCCAGACCACCGACCAGTCGGCCCTACCAGTAGGCTGCAAAGCGGTTGGCGGTCGGGGTAGGCAGTTGGCTGGGATGCAACCCTGGCGGAAGCTCAATATACAAAAATAGAATTGAAGTGAAACTCCAACTCTTATTCTTATTCCCTCTTCCTCTCTCTCCAATCAATCAGACGTAAAAATTCCCAAGCATCCCAACCGTGTTTTAATAACCCTGAACAATCTCAAAGGAAACTTTAACAAATTCAATTTAGTCTTCTCCTTCCTCCAACATCAACTCTACCTCCCCCCCTGGCTATGGTAACCACCACCTGAAGCTGCAAACCTCCAGTGCCCCTTCCCTACTTCCAGCGCCAGTTAGAACTGACACAGAAGACTCGGCACCCAATCAGCACCCGTTCAGGAAGTACAGCGCCAGAACCCTGAACAAAGGATGAACCAGTCAACTAAAAGAAGAACGATATGAGCACCACCAGGATGAAGATGGCTGCGCCTAACCCCAACAGCCTAGATACTTGTTGACGCATGCAGCCCTGAAGCACCCGCTTCAGCGCTCTCCTCAAGCTTCACCACAGCCACCAGCTATGGCCGACTTCCTCCAAGACAAGGCTAAATCGCAGCAGCTTCTTGCCACCACCGAAAACCAAGAACCAAAGAACACGTTAAGCCTCGACCCGAATCTATTTCTAGGCTTTCCTCCTAGCCTACCGGACCCAACCTAGGACAGAGCCAACAAAACTAGCCTACAGTCCCGAGTAACAGCAGTACTAGTCCAGACCGTAGTGCAGACCAGTTAGGGCCTCAAACTCAGTATTTTACAAAAAGGTCCATATAGGAACTAGGCATGTAACAGTTACCGGTTAGGGCCCTTAGAAAATTGCAAAAATGACGCTGTTGGTGTTACAGCTCGCTGAGAAGCTGCAAGTTAATTGCATTCCTACCCTCCGGAGCAAGGACCCCAAGCTAGGAGTGTCCGTCCACGAGGTGAACGTCGGGGCAACTACCCTTTCTGTGCAGCCTCATCAAACAATGCAGCGCACAAGGCTGACTTGAGAAGTTCCTGGGAAACTATCGGTCAGCTATGTGGTTGGAATAGGTACTTGACAAAGTACTCAAAGTTGTGGCCTGTGCCCCACTGATCCTCAATACTCTCGACCTCATATCCTTTTCCAGGAATAGGAGGACCGAATTGAGGGGGTCTGTCTGGGAATCCATCTGTGGGTGTGAAGGGCAGCAACTTGGATGCAAGAAAGACAGGGTAGGTTCTGATCTGAGGGGGGTACAGCTAAGACAAAGGAAGGACAAAATGGCAAGTGGCCTGTGGCTCAGTGGTTAGGGCACCGGTTGTCAATGCGCATTGTGGTCTGAGGTTGTGAGTTCAAAACTTCGCTCCTCTGCGCAGAGACACCCGCGGGCGTTTACATAACGCACGGTCACTTGCATACCCCCCTGGGCTGACGCAGGTAAGCTATTGCAGACACTCCCTGCGCACCACCCAAGCGATCGTCCCTGGTGTTTGTATCTTTGGTCCTGGCATATGAGGGGTTTGCCTGATACACTTAGCGGTCTAAATGACGCAGGTACGGGTTTGTGGTTAGACTCCTCATGCGTGTTGGTTACCTTAGGCACTGCTTCAGGGGGGGCAAGGACCTTAGGTGGAATGCAGTCCCGTTTTTGGGGGAGGGTTGGATTGGGAGAAGCTCTGCTGGAGGTTATCGGTGTGGAACCTACAGTAAGGGACTGTCTTAAGGGATCCCATTAGGAGGGGTGTTAGTAGACAGACTCTGGTGGAGGAGCTCTTTGGTGAACCTGCAGTAGGGGCTGTCTGAGGGGGATCCTCCAAGATAGCATGGTCTGCGTCCCATAACTTAGTTGCTGACTGTAGATAGGTACCGGTCGTGGGTCCAGAAACCAACCTCTACAACACCCTGGACTAGAAAAAAAAAGAAAAAAAAAAGAAAAAAAAAAGGACCAAATGGATCAGCCCCCACTGTATAATGGACCATAATACATGGCCAAAAACTTTCTTGAGGTATCATGTTCATCTGACAGTTCAGATCTTTTCACTTAGACCCAGTGCCTTGGATGAGCGGGAGAAGGCAAGTGGTGATTACTGGCCTGTTCAATCATTCTTTTATGTGCCTTAAACATGTTAGTTTTGCCTTCTCTAGGTCCCGTTCATAACTCTTGGCGAATTCTGCAGTGCCAAGAGTCAATTTGGGCTTTGCCTTATTGATGATGCCATCGAGTGGCTGTCTCAGGTCCCTAACCCAATGGAGCCTATATGGCGTGAATCCAGTGGAGCTGTGAACAGACATGTTGTACATCAGCTGAGTCCTGGACAGATGTTTGTCGCAATCCTGTTGATCCGGTGTGATCACAGGTCGCAGCATCCGAACTAAGATCTGGTTCATCACCTCAGTCTGTCCATTGGCCACAGGATGTCCACCAGAAGTCATGCCAAGTGTAGTGTGGAGATAATCCTGACAATAGGACTGCCACTAATTACTATAGAAGTGTGGGTCTCTGTCACTCACAATAGAGGTCAGGTGCCCATGAACACACACCCGCATCTCAGAGAATACTTCTCTAATCAGAGGCACTATTGCCTCAGTTGGCAAAGGGATAAACTCAGCATGCTTAGAAAAGCGATCAACACAGACCATCACCGGTCTCATCCCACAAAGGGTGGTCTTGCCAAGATCAGTGAAATCAATTGACAAAGACTCACCAGGAGCATCTGGGATGGGCAAGGGTTTGAGAAGTCCCATAGGAGGTCATCTGTGGACCTTGTTCCTTTGGCAAAACTCATATGTCTCTATGTATGGAGGTACATCCTCAACCATTTTAGACCAGTAGAAAAAAGCATCGGTTCAAGGCACCATAGGTCTTCAGAAACCCAAAATGATTGCGAGCATCTGACTCTTTGCAATGAGATGAGTTATGGTTTTGCGGTCATTAGGGATGCACAAACGTCCCTCCCACGCACTGATGGTGTACAACAGGCCTAAAGTCAGGGCATAGCCTGGGTCCATTTGCAGATTACTGACGATAGGGCCGAGCATAGGGTCTTGAGGCAACACATCTGTAATGGCCTGCATTGCTGGATCTCCAAAAGAGTAAGTCTGCACAATAGCAGCAATGGCCGACGCATGCAGCCCAGATATGTGTCAACGCATGCAGCCCAGATACGTGTCAACGCATGCAGCCCTGAAGCGCCCGCTTCAGCGCTGTCCTCAAGTTTCACCACGGCCACCAGCTATGGCCGACTTCCTCCAAGAAGATGGCTGTTTCAACCCAAATCACAGCTTGGCCACCACCGAAAACCAAAAACCAAAGAACCCGTTCAGCCTCGACCCGGATCTGTTTCTACGCTTTCCTCATAGCCTTCTGGACCCGACCTAGGATAAAGCTAACGAAACGGGTGTACAGTCCCAAGTAACAGCAGTACTAGTCCAGACTGTTACAGAACAGAAAAGTACCCATAGGAACTAGGCCTGTGAAACGGTTCGGCCGAAAAACTTAGAAATTGCAAAAATGACCCTGTTAGTGTTACAGCTCGCTGAGAATCTGCAAGTTCATTGCACAGCACATGCCCACACAGGGCGTTGGGTAGATTACTCTACAGTAATGGTTGGTACCCTGAAGAGTAGAGGTAGGAGTAGTACTACCATCGTCAGCCGAATAGAACGCACGGTCTTTGTGGTTGTATCTAGACTGAAAGGTCCCGCAAACATAGCCATAATGACCGTGCTTCTTATTCGCTGGAAGATGATCGCACTCTATAGAGTACTAGTAGTAGTCCTAGAATTTTAGAGTAGGATGGTAGTGTCCTACTCTACCATCCTCCCAACACAACACACCCTAATAATCATGAGTGTATGTGCTATCACTGATACAAATACATATATATCGTCAAACAGAACTGCCCAGTAAACCGTGGGCGGAGAGGAAGAACAGGACAAAAAATGAGGGAGAACTGCCCGGTAAACCGTAGGCAGAGGGAGAAGAGGACAACAAACGACGGCGAACTGCCCGGTAGACCGCAGGCAGAGAAGGAGAAGAGGACAACAGACGAGGGGCTGTGACTGACTGTTTCTTCGGAGTTTCACCAACTCAAAAGGAGGCTGAACACTTGCACAAGTTCTATGAATCTCTATCACGTCCCAGCTATCAGTTGCTGTTTTTTTGGTTTTTTCTGAGTATACAAGTTCTACGTCCCAGCAGTCAGTTTGCCTTTTTTTTCCCTTTTTTGGTATATAAGTTCTATCACGTCCCACCAGTCAATTACAGTGTCATGTTGAGAGAGAGCGGGTGCCTTGTGTTCAAATGACGGTAGAGTTCATTCCACTCTCTTATCACCTCTGGTTTGATGATGACGGCAACAATGTTGACAACAAGGATAACAATGACGATAATGTTGATGATGATTCCGATGACGATGCCGATGACGAGTCTTTCCTTTTTTTTATTGCAATTTCAAACACTCTTTAACTCTCTTCTCAAAGTTTCTTTTTATCCTTCCCTCTCGGTATCGGTCCCTCGCACGTATTTAGCCTTGGATGGGACTTACCACCCAATTGGGGCTGCAATGATGACGAGTCTTTCCATTGAAAGGGAAAACGGAAAATGGTGGATTGCCTTCAACATGAAAGATTTCCTTCCTCCCTAGAAATTTCAACCAACGGTTAAGAAAAAGCATGGGCACCGCACCTGAAGCAATACCAGCAGCGGCACCGGCGGCAATAAGTGCCACCTTCCGGTCCTTGCTGTTTTTCAGGATCTCCGCAAGACCCCCTGCCCATGACTTGCCAATATCAACACTGGGTCCCTCTGGCCCCAGAGAAGATCCCGTTCCAAGGGTAACTGCGGCCTGAACGGCCTTGATGATAGGCTTTGCCGCTTTTCCGAAATCAATCTCATCTTTCTCCTTATTGCTCAGCTGCTGTGAGTTCCTGATCTGCGGACAACACACATGAAACCCCGTCAGAATCAGAAACGACTTTTCCTAGTGGCAATTAAAAACTTCAGACATATACGTGTATATAGGTATATGTATCCATACATGTATACATATAAGCCCATATATATATGTATGATACCCCTCGTTTGTTGTCCTCTTCTCCCTCTCTGCCTACGGTTTAATATATATATAGCCCCTCGTTTGTTGTCCTCTTCTCTCTCTCTGCCTACGGTTTACCGGGCAGTTCTGTTTGTGACGATATATAGTCACATATCTATGAACTAAAAGAGCGCACTTTGCGAAACAAAAGAGGCACACTGAAACCATTCATTTTTCTCAACTCCCCCTTCACCGGCCTCTTATGTACAACAAGGCTCGCCACGTTGATGAAGTTGAGCGCAAGCTGCCCACATCCCCGGGTGCCATAACGGCCCACTTGTACGCTGTGAGAAAGAGGAAGAGTAAAGGGGGAGGCGATAAACACAGGGAAGAGAGATGGAGAGAAGACAAACAAAGAACGACAAAGGGAAAGTACAGAGTGTGGAATGAAGATGAAGGCAAAGGAGAGGATATGAAAAGGTCCAAGAGTGAGTCTGTCCTTGACGACAGAGAGGACATACATTGTAAGGATGAGGTGGATGAGCACATGGAAGGCCTAGCTGAGCATTCTCAGTACAACAACTGCCACGACAGCTGGCATTGAATGCCCACCATACACCCCCAACAAATGGCATGTCGATTGCAGGCCAAAATAAAGGAAGAACATTCACCACAAAAGACCACGCATACAGTGTAGCGCCCATGACCACAAGATTTATATATATATACACTGTCACAGAACTATTGACTAAGAGCGTAAGCAGGTGAAGTAGAAGAAGAAATAAGATGAGCGAAGAATAGAAAAATGAAAGGACAGACAGGCAAAGAGACAGACGAACCAGAATGACACAAAACAGTGTCCTCTTATTCTTTGTTTCACAGTATTATTATTTCTTTCAGTGTTTTACAAAAAAAAATACACTGAATCAAAGGATAAAAATCAAAAACAAAGACACATTGAAATCATTCAGTTTCTGAGTCTTCTTAACGCCTCCTCCACTATGCCTCTAACATACGAGGCTTGCCACGTTCATGAAGTTGAGCGTGAGCTGGCCCCATCCCCGTATGCCATAACAGCCCACTTGCACGCTATGGGAAAGAGGCAGAGTGAAGGAAGAGGTGTAAAACACAAGGAAGAGAAGAGCAGAAAAGGAAAACCGATAGGCAGAGGGAGAAAAAACAAAAAAAGTGACCCAAACATCTTCTTTCTTTCACTACATTCTTCTTTCTTTCACAGTTTTGCAGTTTTGGTGAAGAGTCTACCACGTTCGCTTTTCAGCGCACCTGCACTTCCTTCTTCATTTCTCATCTTCATTTTCACCCTTCGGACTTTTCTTTTGAGGGTGTTAGGGTGCAGGGTACAAACAAAGTAAGATGACACAAACTTATGTTCTCCTTTTACTGCATTCTTCACAGTTTTGCAGTTCTAGTGAAGGGTTCCCCACCTTTGCACATTCTTGTACACTCTTTTCAGCACACCTGCACATTTTTGTCAGGGTGCAAGGTACGTCTAAGTAAGACCCTCACGACAGATAGGACAACTGTCATAAGGATGCGGGCGATGGTAGCAGCCCTCCCGCTGATCTACAGGACGAAAACCATTAATATATATATATCATATATATATATATAGCCCATAACCACAAGATTTATATATATATATATCACCAAACAGGACTGCCCAGTAAACCCGTAGGCAGAGAGGGAGAAGAGGACAACAAACGAGGGCCCATGACAAACTGTTTCATCAGAGTTTCACCAACTCATCAGGAGTGATAAAAGCTTAGTCAGTCAGGACCAACAAACACTTGACACATAGCCGTGACATGCGCAGCGATCATATGTGAAACTCAACCTCGAAACCAGTAGAGTAGAAAATACATGAAGCACATTCCATAGCTTCAGCTATGGCACCTCCGTCCTCTTCGAAACCATAGAGTGGGCGCCGAAAGACCGAGGAACTGGCATCCCCGACTAGTTTTGGTCGCTGCCAGTTAGCGACCTCATCAGGAGGCTGGCCCCTATATTCATATTTACATATATGCCCCCTGAACCGTACATATATAAACATAGTGTGCGCACGTGTCAGGTGACTATATAGATTGTCATATATTTATCATATGTGTCTCAATTCAACTTCCTACTCAGCACTGACAAACACTCTCTCTCTCTCTCTCTCTCTCTCTCTCTCTCTCTCTCTCTCTCTCTCTCTCTCTCTCTCTCTCTCTCTCTCTCT